TTTTTATTTACAAGTTAGTTTTGAAAAAAAAATATATTGGTTGAAAATAATGATTTCATAAAGGGTAAAATTAGAAGAGAATGTGAGAAACGGTCAAAATCCGCTAATTTGGTGGGTTGAGATAACCGGTCAAAATTATACTACACTAATTTTTGGCTATTTTTAAACCACCTAAAATAAGAGACAAAAACACCGAGCACGCAAAAATCAAAAGTGGAAAAGGAAATTTCCATGATTGAATATATAAGGCATATAGTTAATTTAATCAATAGTAACTAAACTTTGCTATAAGTTACTACTTGTTCGCATATCTTTAAAAAATTACTCTTTGCTCATCGAATTTTGTTATTTGTTACTACTTATTTATCGAAATTTAAAAACTTACTCATTACTCACCAAAATTCGAACAAAGTTACTTATCAATCACGTATATAATTTTTCTCACTGTTTTCTATAACAAAGTTCAGTGTGCAATTAATTTTGTTCAAATTTAAATGAGCAACGAATAATCTTTTAATTGATGAGTAAGTAATAAATTATAGCAAAATTCAATGACCATTGATTAAATTATCTCTATATAAAAAAATTCTTACACATCAAATTAATTCTTACATAATTCATAACTTTTATTTAATTTTTCACTACACACTTCATCAATTTTTATCCATTTACTAAAATTTTAATTTTTATTCAAACCAAATAAGGGTCAAAGTCAGTATCCAAAAAGCGTTTCACAAGTTCACAACTCCATTAATTTCACAGCCATTGATTTCTATATATTAAAAGTGGCTATGTAACGGAATTTCTTATTTTTAACGGAAAAACTAACGGAATTTGTTGTTTTAACGGATTATGTAACGGAATTTCTTGTTTTAAACAGGCAGCTGCACTTTCTTTATTTTTATCATAACTTTGTATCCCGATGTCGGATTGAGGCGAATCAAAATGCGTTGGAAAGCTAACCAATCTGTCTACAACTTTGATTCAGACATCATTCTCCAATTCGATCACTTTATATGCCAAAAATAGGTTTCAATATGAGACTAAAATATCGGAGCATAACTTTTCGGTTGGAAATTAATATGTGATCGTCTTTTGACTAAATTTGATTCCATTGACGTTTTTCTTTATCCAATTGACTCCGAGCACTCTCAAATTTTCATCGTGAGGTTCGGCACAACTTTTAAGTATTTATATTTTAGTCCCCGAACTTTGGATCCCTTACAGTTTAGCCATCTCTCCAAATTTGTCAACTTTTGTTTATTTTCTTCGTTCTCACCAACTTACATCACAACATCAAAATCACACATCTAATTATTTATCAATTATATAAACATTACGTCATTAATTATTTAATTAACAAAAAAAATTACATCTTTATTAATAACAAATTAATTTTTAAACAAAACTATTAAATATAAACTAGGCAAACGTGCATTGCACGTTGCTTGCACCTAGTATATATATATATATATATATATATAACCTCCATTCCGCTAGAATATTTATAATCTTTAATTATTTAATTAACAAAAAAAATTACATCTTTATTAATAACAAATTAATTTTTAAACAAAACTATTAAATATAAACTAGGCAAACGTGCATTGCACGTTGCTTGCACCTAGTGTGTATGTGTGTATATATATATATATATATCTGTGTGTGTGTGTGTGTATATTTTAATTTTTCGTGCCTGCTCTCTCTTAAATTTTAAATTTTTACCAATATATTATTAGAGCATGTTTGCCCAAAATTAAAATCCAATTTTAATTGAAAATATGGTCGTTATTGGGTCTCACTCGTCTAATAAAAGTCAACAATAACTGCTAATTTTTCAATTTTAATCTAATTTTAATCTCTACCGAACACGCCCCAAGTCCATTTTTGAGCCTATTTTAGGGGAAAAAATCTGTCTAGGAATAGTGATTTTTTTGAGAATGCAAGGTTAAAAAATAAGAAAAATATTTGAATTTACGTGTAAAATTATTTTATGGGAGAATGTGGAATTAAAAATGGGTTTTAAAAAAAGTATTTTTGAAAAAATGAAGCCTAAAAATCAGCGTTGTATCTGTTTCCATTACTAAGAGTCCGTTTAACAGGAAATTTTAAAGGTTAAAAGTTATTTTCGAGATTAAGGACTTGTTTGACATGATTTAAAATCCAAAAGTAACTTTTGAACCCATTTGACTAATATTATTTCTTCGAGTGAGAAGAGTTTTTAGAAAAAGTTGGTCCAATATAACTTCCTCTAACAAAAAAATTAAGGTAGCTTACTTTTAAATATGTTTGGATAATTTTTAAAAATATTTTGCTTGACTAAAATAATTTTTAAAAATAATTTCCTTCCACAAAAAGTAGAAGCAAAATAGGAGATAAACCAAACGGGCCTAGGGTATCAAAAAAAAACCAAACGGGCCTAAATATTTTTATTCACATAATTTATTATTATCGAAATCCCCGCACCCATTCATGACCCAACCGCTATAAAATAAACTTCACCGCTTCCTCTCTTACGTTTCTCTTTTAAGTCTACACATAAATCAACACTGTATACTTTTCTCAATCGTTCATCTGAACCATCGGATCATCGATTTTCCGAGGTAATTTTTTTATCGTTAATAATAATCTTTGAATACTTTTTGAATTTCTATTTGTTGGTCTATGTTGTTTTCGTTTTTCTTATTTTCAGATGAACAATCTACGTCTTGCTATGATTTTTTTTTCATGTTAAATAAATTGATTGTTAGTTATTTTGTTTACGATCATTTTTTGTTAAATAACTTTTTTTCTGAATTAATATGCATTTTTTGTTTTTGTTCCGTATCAGATTACGATCGTTACTGTCGGTGTAGTTTTTTAGCATGCTTGGCTGCGCAGGTGTCATGATGGTTTGATTTTTGCTGCTATTTTTTGACTGTATAAGTTCTGATGGGTATATTTGCTTCTATTAATTTTTTTTTGCCTTTCTATATTTCAATTTATTTATTATGTAATTGATTCTTATATTTAAACTTCCGTGTGGTTAGATTGGTATATGACTACACAGTTAATAGGGAACTGTTTTGGTTGGTATTTTTCGATAACTTTTCAGCTTCCCCTATTTGAAAGAGTTCCTTAGTTTTCTCTTTAGAGCCTGTTTTGCGAAGCTTACAAAAAAATGAATTTTTTTTTTAAGAAAGTTTTTGTTTCCAAGCATGTTTGGATAATTTAATTTATTTTGTAAAAAGTTACTTATTTTGAAAGTAAATATTACCTAACAAAAACTATCACAATAAGTTACTTATTTCCAACTCTGCGCTAATAAATAAGTCTATTTATTTTAAAACTTACTTTTAAGTAATATTTTTAAAATTAACCAAAAATGCTCTATCCCAGTGGTTTGAGCTACATTATAAACAGTTGGATTAGCCATTCAAATTAATATAACAACTTTCTTATTTTTGTGAACACCCTTTTTGCTGATCTTTCAGCATCATTCAAATATATTTCTGCTCATCATTATCTTCCTAGGTCCTAAGTTCAATTACCGTTTGAGATAGTATTATTCTGAATTACAACAAATAGGTTTAGACGTTTTTCACTATGCAGGAAGGGGTTGCTGGTGGCTTGTATTTATGGAGGATTTGGCCTTTGATTTGATAGAATCCTTATATCAGCCTAATAGTTCAAACCTAGACATTTGTGATTTACTTGAGCCTGAATTTTGGTACAGTGATGGTATACTATATTGGTTCATCTTCCTTGCCTTTAAAATGAACACGAGTTTGCAAAGCCCGTGGAATGAGGGGCATAACATGCAGGTGAGATGTTCTTTGCTTAGTCCTCTACAGTCCTTTCCAGACTGATAATTGTTTTACAAAGCAAACTTCCCAGATTACATCAGTTTTAAAATTGTTTCTTGTGGTTCAGTACTCATCGATGATAAAAAGTCTTCTAGGCAGACTGCAGTTTTTAGAACATGTCTTAGTGTAGGTAGGTCATGGACGTAATATTGAATTTCTTTTATACCTTGGCGAAACTTTAGTTTTTAAAAAGCCTGGAAAACACTTGTTACCTAGACATACAGGATACATATTAAGTAAATAGCTAATCAGTCTCCTGGTATGAAGATTCTGAATTACAAATATTATTGCAGGCACGTTTTGTCTATCTGGATGATAAAATGAACAAGTTTGATTTTGACATCTGGGTGCCCTCCAAGAATAGCTAAGACTGACCCTGCCACGGTTGCAGTGTCATATGCCTCAACTTCTGAGCTTAGATAGAGATTGTAACCTCTGGATTACGTCATTTTTGCAAAATATGATAATTTTCTTCTTTGTGGAATTTATTTGCATCGTCAATCATTCTGTCTAATAAAGTTAGGATCCTTTGAGAACTCCTTGCCGTTAATACTAAGGTATTTCTTTAAGTTTGATTATTCCACGTACATTTGGAGTTGGGGAAAGAAGGCAGTTACATTACTGTCTCCATGTTGGTTTATGGTGACAAGGTGAGTGCTTCTATTCCTTTTAGGAATTATGTTGACCAGCTCTTTTCTCAACACAACTGGGTAGCAGGAAATTGACGTACTCGGTTGGGCTAAATGTGCAGACTAAGTGGTTTGTATGATGGAAGTGTGTTTGGTTGATCTGTGGTCATAATTACAAGCCTCTAGAGATCCTGAGCAACTGGATATAATCTCTCCAATGAACACCTCAATTTCTTTGCTTGTTGGCAGAAGTTTATTGTCTTTGAATTGAGCTGTGTGTTGGTTGCTTACCATTTGGTTGATGCTGTTGAGTTTGTGATGCTTAAGCTGTTTCTTTAAAGATCGTGGTCATACTAAATGGAGGCTGAAAATCAACTTGAGTAAGAAAACAATCTAGATTAAGAGTTGAGCAATGAAATTTCTGCCCTCCGTTATAAAGTAATTTAAGAACAATGCCTTTTGGACACTGATTATCTGCCCGTGGGACTTTCTTTCTAGTACATCATGTCCCTACGAGAATAGTTAAATGGGAAGCAGTCAACATGGTGTCCAGAGTGCTGATGATCACTTAAGTTTCTGCTGGCAGGTTTTCCTGTGGCCTGACATTGGAAGCAAATCATAGCCTGGGATTTTTCTAGGACTCTACTTGTCTCTTAGAGGATTCTCTTACAGACAAGTTTCCCTTTTGGTGGACTAGCTTCTTCTCTCAATGAGTTAAACACTGATGCCCGTGCCTCAGTTAGTTTGAAGATCGAATAGCTTTCCTGGGTGCATTAATCTTGGAACCAATCATTGTTATTTTGTGGGGGAGCATTATTTCTTTGTTTTCTGTTGATCCCTCGCTCTGTCCGTAAATGATTTATTGTATTATTTCAAACTAAGCCCTGTTTGGTACACATTATTTTTTTCATTCTCATTCTTCTACTCCTTTCCAACCACACATTCTTCAATAAAATAATATTTTCCATCGCATCAATAACTTTTCCTTCATTTTTAACCATACATTCTCCATCAATCTACTATTCAATAATACATTCTTTCAAAAGAATGTGTCCCAAACGCACTCTAAATATTTTTCATTAATTTCTTGGAATTTTCCCTCTGTGGTCTAGACGTCTAGTTGTTTGCTTTTCTTGACACATGCCTCTGACTTGAGTGTTTTCGAATTCCTTAGAGCATTGTATATTTGAGTGTATCATTTGATCTTCCTCACTTCCCCCCAGTATGCTTCATCTAGTAGACACGATAGGGTGCGAAAGTTAATTTTATATATGAAGTTGGACCCCTGTAGCTCTACGCGTATTAATGACTTTGCCATGGTAATAAAAATAAGTGAACATACATAGTTTGCCCGAGTTTCTTGACTAACTAGCATTTTACTTCATGATCAAAGATCACCACAGGTATTCATTTTCAAGGCTGTCAAACATTAGAACGTCACAGGTATCCATTTTCAAGGCTGTCAAACATTAGAACGTCAAGTTAGTTCTAGTCTTTCTTTGGGACAATTGGGTCAGATCTATCTTCGATTAAGTTCTCATATACATTGTGCAGAAATTTGAATTTCCTGTATGAATTTGAATTTGTGCTTGTAATTGCTGTAGGACACTAAAACAATGGAATTTAATATTGTGTTTGGTAGAATAGTGAACTTGAATCATTCTTTCTTGAAACTGATCACCTCCTTGAACTTTTATGATCTAAAGGAAAAGTCGATTCTTGGTTGCTCTTATATTCAGTATGGTGGAAAGTTGAATTGCTGTGAAGCACTTAATTTACAAGTTTATGTTGTCTCCTTGAAAGATTAATAATTTACGAAGATTGTTACAATAATTAATTATGCCATATAAAGTATACTGTTGCCGTTGATGGACACTTTCCATTCTACATATTATAGTATAGAGATGAAGGATGAATGCATATTTGCACGAGTTAACAGTAACCCCGTTTTTTCATAAACCCACAATATACTTGCTATATTTTTAAATCTATCCCACTTAGATCTTCTGACTCCAGAAATTCTGTTTATATGTTCATCCTGTTGGAGATGGAGAATAGTAGTATTACATTAGAGAATGCAAGAGAAATAGGTTTAAATATCTCCGAAGAAGAGACTTTTAAAGACCTTTATGAGTTATTGCTTTACATTTTCTCTTGTTAACCTGTTTGTGTGGATGTCTTCACTGTTAACACTTTACTAAATAAGAAAGCTTAGTGTATTTTTGTGGTTGATCGATATAAAAATATTTATTTATATCGACAAAATTTCGATTATGTGTTAGCCTATGCCAAGATTCTTATACCTTTTTTGAAGTTACACGTTTCAAAATGAGAAGGGCTTCTTAAATAGAAGTGTACTTATTAACTGTCAATCTAGGAGAAAGGGGTCAATCTTGTAGGGTGTTTCTGACATATGATGCATGATCTGCACCAATCATTTTATTCATATGGGAGCTACATGGTTGTTAGAATTTTGGTTAACTCGCTAATACATAACCATTTTAACGTAGTGAAGGATTGTTCTTCTTATAAATAAATTGGTCTTGATTATGGTTACATCATAATTTGGAACACTAGGGAAGATTTCAGAGGCCTAGTCTCCTCGATCCCCAGAATCTTGGTTGTAAACTGGCTGCTATCAGGTCATGGGTCATAGGGGCCCTTGATGAATACTATGCCAATTGCACGAAGGTTGGGCATATTAGATGCTGCAAAATTTTAGAATTGAAAATTTGTACGAGGACTCGTGTATATCTTCTTACTGTTGTACATCCTCGTCTTTGTAAATATCTTGGGAGGATATACTATTTCGAACTCTGATTCTTCCTTTGTTGATGATTCTGGTTAACTGAAGGTTCTGATTGCCATCATTATTAAATAGAAAGGATTGTCCAGATAAACCTAACATTGAGACACCTTTGCAGAAATTAGACATGCTATATAGCCTTCCTGGTAGAAGTTAACAGGTTGAATGTATTAATTGCTTATTTTGAGTGATATCTGAATTTATATATGTACCTATTTTGGTGTGGCTAATTAACATCATGCCTCGAAGGTTAGTAATACTTGGTAAAATGAGATCTACATTGAGTTACCTTAACTTGTGTGGAGTTTTTGAAATGAGCTAATCTATTTTGTTCATTTATCTATAATTCCATATTGATTTCTATTTCCTGAACCTTTTGTGCTTGCAGGTTTTGGTCTGCTCGAGAAACATTTTTTCTGCTTTGTGGCTTAGACAGCTATGGGGCATAGACACGTACTCAAGACACCTCAGATTTTCGAGAGCGATAATAATCAGGACTGGAATCATGCAGAGCAATCGTACATGCATATGGGTAGTTGCTTATTTTTCTCCACCCACTTTATGCATATGGTTGATATTGTTCATCAATCTTTTTTATCCATTAAAAGAACTGAATTCTATCTAGACGAATGTTCGTGTCATGGTCATCTTGGAAAAATGTCCTCCCTTTCCCATAACACCTCGATGGTGTTATCTTTTTTATCCTGACTTGGTAAATATCTCGTCTTCATGTACTTCATCTTCGTTGTTTCTGCAGCAATGGCCAGTGTTTCTGATGGCAGTGCGCATATTCATCCTGTTGATAATATGACAACCCAAGGTGGACATTCCACTTCTCTGTGGACTGCTGCTCCTATGCAGAGTGAATACACTTCCTCAAATCTTAATGTCGAAATGCCGCATTATCAACCACAGGCTTCTGGTCCATCGCACAATCCTTTTCTTCATCAACCTCCTGCTGAGAACTTCCTTATGCTTCAAGAAAATTATCCACATCATGCATCCTCTTCCAATCTTGCTCGGCAAACAGTCCCTTGGGTAGATGGTGGTTCTTCTGATCCGACAGTGGGCAATAGCAGGGGCCCATATAAGCGAAAGAGCTCTGGAGCCCTTCCAATGCATGAGAGTGGCAGTGCAAGCAGATATCACAATGATGGAAGTTCGTCAGATCTCTCCTTTCCCTCTGACCCGTGGCAGGATATGCAGACTACTGACTCTTATCGTACACCTTGGGAAAATCCTCCCAGTTACAGGGTTAATAGTGTTTGTGTTGGTGGTGAAGGTGAAGGTGAAGGTGCTCTGAGGAATGTCAGGAGTAGAGGTGAAGTTGACTTGGAAAATAATCTGGTCAGGACCCATTTGTCCAGCAATTCTCTGCGCCATTCGTTTTCTAGACTATCCTCTGATCAATCTAGTTTAGTGGATTTCGGGGGGCAGAGTTCAAATGCTCCAACAAGTGAGTGGAATCATAGGGTCATGTCAACTGCTGGTCATGGTATGACTTCTGCCGTATGTAAGGTTTATGGCTTTTTTTCATTGTGTAACACATGGTAGTAAGATTTTTTCTTCTAAAATTGCAGATACCAGTTTATACTGTCATGAGCCTAACTCCCTGAATACAGTGAACAATCATCCTAGTGTTTCTCTAGAGATTGAGGGGTGCCACAGTGGTGTTACCTCAAGCAGAAACTCTGTTTTTCCAAATGTACAGCGCAACTTGAGCCCGCCTGTTAGAGGATTTAGGAGTGTTGGTCCAAGATACGCTCCAACTTCCAGACCTTCAAACAACTTGTGCCCTGGCCAAGTGACTGCCTCAGATGAAGGGCAGCATATGGTTGCAGAAAGTTATCCCTCCAGACATCAACGAGTGTTTCCAACCGTAAGATTCCGCAACATTGACAGAAATGGGAGAAATAGTGATAGATATAGCTCCTTTGCTGAGGATTCAAGTCTTCAAGATCATATGCCCGCACAGGTATGTGCATACAACATCTTTAAGAACATTGGCTTTTTTTTTAGTACGCAAGAGTCGTAAGTATTTTAACTCCCAAAGTAATTGAAATGAGATGACGTTGATGGGGACAGACTGCTGTTTATTTACAGAGGCCATTGATATCGTTACCCAGGAACTCTGTTGTTGAAATTGTCATGATGTATGGATATCTTCATTGTCATGTACAAGAACCTAGTCATTTTTATTTTCAATTCAATGGTGTCCAGACCAGTTTTTGTTTGGGAAGATGTTGCTAGAATTTGAAGGAACTAATCTATCGTTGATAGCATGTCATCTTCTGGTGCAACCTTTTTTCCTCATCGATCTACAGTTGTGACCTATTTTAGTCATTTGATTCTGTTCAGTCAATTCACATCAATCTCTCTCTTGAGAAAATAATATAGGAAATGAAAAGGAAAGAGGAGGCAGAGGGGAGAGTGAGGGATGGACTCTAGACTTGATCCTCGAAAAATTTTGGGGTTATGGAGGTGGGGTGATAATATTTTGTTGAAGTTGGCATGATTGCGTTTATTAGGTGTATTTGGTATAAACTTAAGGGAGATATTTTCAGATCACAAATGGACATCTCAGCGCTTATGGGAAAGGATGGTATTCCTTTCCTATTTGTTGGGGAAGCCGTGAAGGCATCTATCTGTTTGAGCAATCAAAATTTTAAAATATGTGCATGTGGTTGGGGGGAATTATTTGTTTGCTGTTCTTTTATTCTTTCGGTTTCTATTTATATCGAGGAGACCTTGTTCTTTATCATACACTTTTTTCTTTCTTGTAATAAATATTGTTTATCCTGAATAAGAAATGGAATATTCCTGCTAGTCACAGAATTAATTTTTATGACAGAATTTGTAAATTTTTTGATCTCGGGCAAAACTTAGTACTTTAGATTCATGTGTATCCATCTGTTGTGCTTGATGTGTTCTTTCTAGTCTCTCCCTTAGTATAAATTTAGTTTAATAGTGATTGATGTATATGTTGCTTATTCGTAGTAAGGCGAGCCAGATAATTTTATATTTCTTCACAAAGTTTTTTTGAGGGCAATATAAGATTTGTTTCTTCACCTATTGGTTAATGATACTAAGGCATTATATATATCTGCACGCCTGAGATTCTTACTCCGAGTTCATCAATGTTTCAGGGTCTTGTGGGTCATTCAGCATTTTATGGATCCAGATATCCCTTTGATCAGCATACGGGCATGAGGCTTGACATAGACAATATGAGCTATGAGGTCACGTTATAGTTTATACTTCCCATTTTCTCCTCCTTTACCCTTGTTACTTCAGTTACTAAACCACTATGTATTGGCATGAACAGGAACTCCTCGCACTAGGGGAGAGGATTGGAAATGTCAGCACTGGTTTGTCTGTGGCTTTAATCTCGAAGTGTTTGACTGAGTCGATATATTGTTCGTCAGACCAATTCCAAGAAGAAGAAACGTGTGTTATATGTCTGGTGAGAACCCCCATTGCCACATCACACACAATGCATGCTCTATATAGATTTCCTTAGTTTGAGTAGGAGATGTTAGCATGAACTTTATATGTAGGTTATTGAACTTTTTGTCCGCTCGTGTATATTTGCTTTGTTCCATCAAGAATTTTATATAACTAAAAAGGAAAGTTGCTCAGCTGGTGCAATTATTTTGTCTTTAACAGGAGGAATACAAAAACTTGGATGATGTCGCGACTCTGAAAATCTGTCACCATGATTTTCATGTGAGCTGTATACGGAAATGGTTATCGATCAAGAATTCATGTCCAATATGCAAGGCTTCCGCTTTGGATGAGAGCGCGAAGGAGAAATGATGTATTCATGTTCTGTTATATTTTTCCCGATCTTCTTGTATTTATCTTTTAGACACAATCCTCGGAACATAGGAAATGGATTCAAATAGACATTGTAGGCAAATGCTAACTTGATTTATTTTCTTTATGGTGCCTTCATTGTTTAGGACCTTTTCTATGACTTGTTAGTAGCCCTTTGATAACTTTATTTATATACATTCTTGAATGGGTCCAAACATAAGATTTTGGCTTATTATATAACTAATAAAACGTACAAGTTCTTAATTTTATTAAATTATGCATATTATACATGCACTAATTCATTGTCTAGTAGTGTAATTGAATTTGTACTTACGTTTGTCAAATATCGTATGATTTGAGATATGTTCGATCTTTAGGAAACAAATGGAATGCTTCCTTGGAACTCAAATCACCGGAAACGAAGTTTGTGGAGCATTGACCTCATAGTCCCTTCGATGTAAAAGTCAATTTTAAATTATAAAATAGTTATTTAGGGCCTGTTTGGGTCTGAAAAATCTGATTTTAATCAAAGTCAAACAATTAATATTAACAAAATCTTTTATGGGTCCCACATCGTTTCAACCACACATTTCAAAAACTTCTATGACAATCCACTAAAAATCTAATTTTAATCTCCACGAGAAACAACCTCTTAGAATGTAAAAGGAATTAATTGTGTAGGTGAATAATGAATATGGACAATATATTTATAGTTCTTTTTGGTATATACTCCTAAAAGCATAAGAACAAGCATGGGACTACATATGGCCCGATGAGTTAGGACTCGTAGTAGAATTAAAAAAGAGTTTTGATAGAAATGCGTTTTCTTCATTGAGCCATACTAGTCTATTGACAATAGAGTATTGACAGGTGACTATGTCACACACTTGGTTCAAGCTCAAGATCAATGTTCAAACGGTACTCATACTTGAGAGTCCATAATTTGCCTCAATACGTAGCTTGCTTAGGACTTGATTAAGTCTAGTTTGGGTAGGTTCTTCGCGGATAATATACTATTGCCTGACTAGGACCAAAATGAAGCTCAATAGGGATGGATGCGCTAAATGAAATTCAAGACATGCGGGAATTGGTGAATATGTTAATATAGTCTTGGAAGTAGATTACAAGGAAGTCAATTTTCTACTAAAAGAGACGGACACACGGACATAAGTGAAATGTTATGATCATCATAATGTGAAATCACAAGATGGAGCTTTACTTTGTTTCACTTCTGCACAACTGTATAGGGGGTTTTCTATCACTGCTCAATCACGAGTGGGCTGATAATATTAATTTTTGACTTTTTTTTTATCTTTGTATGTACCGTATACTATATTGTTATGAGCTTTGTCATGTCATATATATTGTCTCGTGAAACGATTCACTGCTGAAGGTACCTTGTTGAAGTTGTTGGGAAACTTTTTTTTATTGTATCTAGTTCCAATGAATCTTGTACAAATCCTTTTGAATTGGATTGCACCATTGTTGTATTAGTTGTGCTTGGGAGGGGGTATGCCTTACATGAGAGACTAGGCTTTTAAAATTGTTATTCAGAATTTTGTTCATAGCTGCAAGAATCCTAATCATGATTTGCAGTTCAGGATACTTCAAACGTTGATTAGAATGTTGAAGATTGATTTCCTCTAATAGGTTGATTCTGTCTTCCAGTTGTTTGAACTTTGAAAGTAATGAACCAAAGATCTGATTTCTTTTCAATCAGTTAAAGCTCAATTTTTTTATTGATTTTGTGATGCGATTAGGCACTAGGCATCCGTCATGATAGTAAGAAATTACCTGAACTGTGAAAAGAAGTTGCCACAACCTAAACCACTAAAAACATTGTGAGATTTAGGATGTTCAAATGCTAACTTGATGCATTCCCTATTCCGTAGTAGTGATTTAAACACTTGAGTTTCTATCAAAGGAAAAATCTGGCAATTGGATGACATCAATATTGAGATGCAACGAATGAGCTTGGGGGCCTGTACGGTGCGAATTTGACTCTTGAGTCTCTTTCTCTTCTTCCGCCAGTTCACGAGTTCTACCACGGTTAGACCATTGTACATCCTCTTGATAATGTGGACTTGAGACGGATCCTTCTACTTTCCATGGTTGATTGGTTCTATAACTTGGAGTGGCATTCGCACTGTCAAGATCGCTTTTGTAGTAACGCAACAGATGAACAGGGGAGGATGCATGAAGTGGAGTGCCTGGCCTACTTGACAATGGTGTAATAGATCCTGGGCTCTGATTTCGCTTTAGCTGCTTCCTTGCAGTCTGGTGCCAGGTACGTAGCGCATTGACCACTTTGTCATTGAATATTGTTGGCTTCATGTTTGATCCCATCTGTTTGATTTCCAATGTGTAAGAATAACTCCAAAGAATCAAGGAGTGTGTATAAATACGTTTCTAGAAGTTTACAAGTCTTACCTGTGTTACTAACGCGTACAGGGGAAGAATAACATAACTGCAGAGTATTTGTACCAGTACCCTATAACAAGCGTAATATGAATTGATGAGAGCATTGTTGTTACATTTGAGAGTGCTGAAAATTACACATTTCTCGATGTTGATTTTAAATGATTTCTGGAGATAACTCACCCCATTGATATCCGGATTACCAGATCTTCTGTTCTGTTGTGGAAGCAAGATCGCATTCCAAATTCGTACTATAAGATTATGACAAAACAAAGTATCAGATCATAACACGAAAAGTTCAAAATCTTGAATATGACTAGTATATGTGGATATGCTTACCCAAGCCCAAGCAAAGAAAGCTAGCTGAAATGCATTCTACAAGAATGGAAAAAAAATGCAAAAGCTCAGGATAAGTTAGTGTCATCAACTAGATGGGGATTATAATGTTTCATGCAAATATCAATCCATTACACTTGATGTTTGAAATACGGATTAACCAGACTGGTTTCCGGTTGAGCCGGCGGGGCAGTCAGGTTTTGTAACATTAAGATAATGGACACAGATAACAACGCATTGTGCGTGATGTTTGAAATACCTGAAAAAGAACAAATTGGATGAGGTAAAGTAAGACTCGGGGGCGGTTGAACCAGAAGAGGTCATCGCCTGGTTGAACTACTGGGATACCCTTCACCACCTCACCTCTTTCTTGAATCCTTAAACCCATCTTGGTGATTATAAACTGAAGTTTTGTTCCTACTAACAAAAGTATCTGCAGAGGAAACATAAGTAAGATATTTTTGTGGAGCATTGTTTTCTGTGGAAAATAAGTAGATTGAAGAGGTTGAAATAGAGCTTACAATCAGTGGGATAAAGGGTAGCCACAGGTAGGAATGCCAGCCTGTTTCCATAAAAGCAAAATTAGAAATTTCCCACCGGGATAAAAGGAAAAAATAAAGAAGAGTAAGGGGTCGTTTGATATGGATTTTGCTTCCTATAGAAGAGCTTTTGGAGGAAGTTATCTTGATTTTCGTTTGAAAACTAATTTTTAAAAGCCTGAAGTGCTTTTAGAGGAAGGCACATCGGATCGGCTTCCTCTAAAAGCTCTTCTAACTCTCAGAATCACTTTCTTAAAATTAGTTAATTGGTCCAAAAGCAGCTTTTGAATCTTAAAAGCAACTTTTGGCTTTTCAAAAGCCATGCCAAACTGGTCGTAGATTTGCTTACCATGGGTGTTAAACAGAAGGAACAACACTGCAAAGAACCAGATTGGTGGACTGCAGAATTGAGAACAAGTTAGTATCTTGGAATTGAATTTTCCTCATTTGTTTAATCGTGCTTCTTTAGCTATTAATTTGAAGCTATTACATCCCTGCATAGCATATAACTGTTTTTACACCTCCTAGCATTACTAAAATATGGCATTCAAATGCCAAATATTGTCATGAAAAATATGCATCGCACCTGATACCCACAACAACTTTGAAATCATCTTCAAGCGACCTTTTAATGTACTTCTGGAAATTGAAGTTTGCTTGACTATTTGGTGCTAAATGTGCCTGTTAACATCATACACAGTAAAATTTTCATCTGCGTCTGTGCATGTGTGTGTACGTATGTAATGTACATTTGTTAATCTGACAAAGAACTTACATTGATAAAGCCATGACGTAAAGTTAAGTAATCCACTTTTAGAACGGATCTGATAAATTGTCGAAAGAAACATACCTGGAAATCCCGAAGAAAAGGTAAGAAATAAAAAATATTTTTTCACCTTTACATTGCAAATAATTTGAACTGGAAATCAGCACTAATGGCTGAAACTAGCAGTAGATGTTTTTTTTCATCTTACCACTGAAAGAAGGATGGGAGATTGATTCCAGGAGCTCAAATGTCTTCTTCCAAATGAGGTATCCCTTGTAAATCTGAATCTCTCTGGATCTGCAATGTGTAATTTGAACTGGAAATCAGCACTAATGGCTATGTTTGATATGCAGTTTTAGACCAGATTAGAGAATACAATGGACAAGATTCTAACGTCTTTTTATTGTTTAGTATTGTCTAGTGATGTCCTTTCCACTTTCCAAACATGCCAATAACGTATTATTTTCTCACACAGATCTACAATGGAAGTTTTATGGTGGGAAAAAAAAAAGTACCATGGCTATATTGATACTCAGCTGTCCTGGTTTCCATTTCCCATGCCTTCCATTTCCTCATCTATGGTCAAGGGAAAAACATTGAGAAGGCAAATTAGATTTTAAAGTACAGCATTTGAGAAAGAGGGATGAGAGGAAATTATATTACCTTGGCCCTGCCCAAAGCCAAAGTGATTAGACAGGCTAGGATATGAAAAACAGCTAATACAAAGATGAAAATGTGCAATTGGTGGATGCCATCAGAGGAGACCAATGGAACTTGTCCCTGCAAAATTTGCAGTCAAACATTTGTAAGAGCATGTTTGGCTAAGCTTAGAGAAGGTAATTTTTTTTTTTTTTTAAAAGTAATTCTGGCCGTCTATGGACAACTTGATATATTTTTAACTTTCATCAATTAAAGTAGTTTATTTCATGCAAACAAATTTATTCAAATTCCTTATCAACTGCTACTCTATTATTTATCAGTTAGTTACTCTCATGTTATATTAGTCTTCAAAATGCTAAAAATATTCTTAAAGAGTTGAGACAATATGAAAATGTTAAATATGTCCCACATGAAGAGAAATATCATCATATAATTTAGAAAACTGCTAGTGATGATTGATAACAGATGCAAAGTAAATCATTGATCATGCCTTGTCAGCACATTTGTCATATCCCGCGGCAGCTAGAACTCGTCCATGAGTATCACCAGAATCCAGAATAGCAAGAAGCCTTCTTCGGCCATCATACTTGGTATCCTCTTTGTATTTGCTCTCCTCCTGTTTCTTGTCACATGGATGCCAAGAATTTCCTATGGCCTTTGATACACAAATCTTTGATATAGGCCCTTGTCCTACTGTCAGCAGTAAAGATATGAAGCCTAGTAGCATCAGCTCTGAGGAAGACAGACAGAATGCTTATAGTGGTTAGTGCATGTTTCATTTACGATAGTAGATTATGTTTTGACTTATTTAATCTGCATTAGCAAATGTCATATGAAGATGAGAAAAATCTATGCTTATATGAGTTGCTAACAAATAACTAACCTGATTTAACCTTTTCAAGTGCCTCATGTAGAGCTTTCTTGTTTCTCTTTGTCAACCACTGAAAACCAACAGGATATGGCTCAAGATTTATCAGAAAATTATAAAGGGCTTGTCTGGATAATTTTTTAGAAGTGCTTCGTTGACTAAAAGAGCTTTAAAAGAAGTATGACTTTTCTACAAGAAGCAGAAGTCTTACCAAACGGGCAAGATGGTAAGTTTTTCTTAAGCCTCATTAATCTCATGAAGAAATAATGCTAATACCTTTTCAATTAGGTGAATGATATATTCAATGATGATTGAAATTGCTACAAGCACAAAGCATACAACAGCTACAGCCCACGTCGGCGTTTCTTCGAGGGATCGTCCACCCTTGGCTGCCATATGGTTTTTATGATTCTTTACCAAACTTATAGCAACTTCACTAGAAATTTTGAAACCAAGCACCCTTGAATAGACGCAAACTTACTAGGACACACTACTTGTTATTCTGTATGAAGGAATCTTGCTTTCTAATTTAGCAATTAGTGAGAAGATACTGAATTTATGTATAAGAGAGTGGTTTGAGCTAAATATGAGCCTATTATAAGGCAATTGGTGGAACATAAAACCTCATGCACTACTTTCAAAACATGGGGTATATATATATATATATATAGGAGACAAGACTAGAATATGTTTTGCAAGAATTTAGAGACCTAGTAAACGAAGACCGAGAAAAAGAAGAAGAAAATTTCGAGGAAAGTAAGGGAATTTGACTTCTGACTTATTGCGGATGAGGAATATAAGCCCCTGTTTTGTCCAGATTAAAATTTGATTTTAATCTAAATCAAAGTCAAAGAATCAATATTAACCACATTTTTCATGGGTCCTACAACTTTTCAACCACACATTTCAAAAATTTCTATCACAATCCACTAAAAATCTAATTTTAATTCCCACCAAACATCCTCTAAGTTCTGTTTGACAGGACTTTTGAGATTGAAATTATTTTTGAATATGTGAGTAATTTTTTGAAAAATACTTTTTTTTGTTAAAAACGTTTTTAAAGAAATTTGGCTTGTGAAATAAAAAGTCAAAATTTTTTGCTGGAAGAAGTGGCAACGGTTATAAAAATAATTAAAAGTTGGTATAAAATTCCTCCCAGACAGTCCCTTCGTGTATGTTTGGTAAGCCCTTTTTATTATAAGCTATGAAATGTGTAGATAAAAATTGAGTCCTATGAAATATATAAATAAAAATAATATTTGAACAACTTATAATTTGCAAAAAACTTTGCCAAACATATTCTTAGATTAATTAACTTGGAATGTATCAAAAGAATTTTGCATTATCATAAACTGGCGGTCAGTAAAAGTCATTTTTAGTCACCCTTCAAAGTATTGTGGGGCTTACATCTGGCACCGGTCTTCTATTATTACGGAATTTGACGCAGAGTCATGTAAATTATAAGGATTTCTCCGCTTGTATAGAAGTAGCGCTGCAACAATTTCACCGAATGTTGATGTGGCAGCGTCTAGTTGGTCTGCTTTTTTTTCTTTTTTTTTTCCATTATTGATTCGAAAATTGTCAAGTGTATTCTAACAGCATTTTTCTGTACGCACAACAATGCTGAAATTATTACGTTCTCGAACAAACATCATGCAAGAAATTCCATGCACATTCCCCACACCTCACTTTTTTTATTTTGTTTATTTCCATTATTTTGATCCATTTACGTTTTTACATTTGCTTTTGTCCCTTGACCAACAATGTTGCTTAGGTGGCTGGACCTACTCAATTTTGGGTTTAGTTAAAAATTTAAATTTTAATATATTTTGATAAAAGTTAATAAAAATATACTTAAAAAATTGATAAATATTGTGGAATCCATGAATATGTGGTTGAAAATAAATTTTAGAAAATGGGAGTCAAATAGAGGCTCAATTGATGTGTTTGCTTAGTTCTGATGAGCTTATAGAGGTTCAGTTGGTAACCTTGCTTTGTTCTTATGCTAGTGCGACGAGAAGAGGATTAAGGTTGCGTTTAGTGCACCGAATTGAATCGTATAGAGAATTTTATATAAAATTGTAATAAATATTGTCAAGTAGAGGGTATTATGGTAGATTATTATCACTTGATTTTTTTTAAATTTTGAAATGTAATAACAAATATATTTTTTTTCATATTTGATGCAGTGCAAATAACTGTAAAATAAAAATAAAGAAACTTCTTTGTGAGGAGACATCCCTTCTCTCGAAGCTAGAGGGCTATTTTGTCGTGTACCTTACTTTTCTCATAATACTATTTATTATAACTTTATATTATTGGTCCATCAAATTTACTCTAAGCTCTCGTTTGGTTTAACTAAAAAGTTGATAAAAATTCAAGTTTGTACATTTTATCTGATCCACAATTTTTATTAACTCTTCAATTATACATATCATCAACTCTAGAGCTGTTCTCCTACCTATGGTAGGAAGTTTTATAATGTCCACTCGGAGAGAACCCAACGTTAGGTTCTCACATTGGAAAGAACCCAACGTTGGATTCTCCTGCCACATCAGCAGGTGGGTAGTATTATTCTACCCACCGTGGACAGGGGAACATTTCCACCATCAACTTTTTATCAAATTATATCATCTAGAACATCTTCTAGATGATAGAAATTTTAAATTCTGAACTGGTTATTTAATGAAATATGGACATTACTGATTTGGATTTAGTCTGAATATCCAAATTCATCATGAAAATCAGGAAAATTTGCACTAAAAGTCTGGTCTTTTCATATGCAATTTCCCCAAATGAACCCTCAGCTTAATATTAATATAAAATGTCATATTTCAACCTGTTATTTTCATGCATTAAGTGCCAGTGTGAAAATTCCATTCACTTTATTTTCAAAGCTGGGGGCCAAATTAGATGATACAAATTCATTTAGGTGTGGATTAAGTCTGAATATCCAAATTCATTCTATCATCTAGAAGATGTTCTACTATGTATGCAGAATTAATGAATTGAGAATTTAGTTAAGAAACATCCTTCTCAAGGACAGCATGGTTGGCACTTGCTAAATTATTTTATCCCTTTGTGAATGGTTTAGTGGTTGAATTAATCTAACCTATTAACTTTGTACCTCGTAGCCCATGTTTGATTTAGTTAAAAATTAATTTTTGAAAAAAAAAAGTTGATGATACGTATAATTGAAGAGTTAATAAAAATTGTGGATCAGATAAGATGTATTAACTTATATTTTTATCAACTTTTTAGTTAAACCAAACGAGAGCTTAGACTGAGTTTGATGTACCATTAATATAAAGTCATAATAAATAGTATTACGAGGAAATATGTTGGTTGTTAAATTTTAATTTATTTTCACTTTTTCATAAATATTCATTGCTTTCACTCTGTTAAGAGATATGAAGATACTCATTACTAAACACCAACTCAATATGATTTTCCATTGAGACTCGATCATAAAGTGCGAATTCGGTAGCATTGAGTCAACAATTGGATTCTTCCAAGTTAAGGGCTCTTGGAATTCTCGAGTCTTGTAGTCAAGCTGCCTTCTTTCATTGCATTAGAGGGTTCGTTCAAGAAAATCCTTGCACACCTCCATTAGGTCCATCACCTTTTGGGAGACATATGCCCATAAAAACAATCTATCGAATTAAGCCCTTATTTGAGCTTTATTTTATCAAAAATTCATTTTCAATTACACATTTTACAATAAAATAATAAATTGAAATTTTTTCTTATTCTTTAACCACATATTCTTCAAAAAATACTATTTCAGAAGAAGAAAAAATACAGATGGGCTCCATCTGAATTTAATATTGTCAAAAAAAGGGCCCACCTGTACACCGACTTTCTCATTTCAACATTCATTTTTTTTTTCCAAATTCATTCAATTTTTTCAAAATTTCTGTTTGAAAATAAAATTGCTTATTTAATATTATTTTCCATCATAGGATATGTATTCTTTTATTATGTCGGATCGATTAAGATAAAAATATAAAAAAAAAAATATGTCACAATCTGTAAAATATTTTCTTTTGTTTTTGGGTCGTGAAAGCTATACATTATTATTTCAAAAAAATAGGCCATTTGTGCCAAAGAAATAAGACATGGATGAAACGACAAAGGATATAATCCAAGAGATTGCAATGAATTAAAGCAACAAAATCATTTTATAGCGTTGACTTTATTGTTGACCCGGTCAACTTTGATCGGCAAAATACGTCGATTCTCACATGCTAGACACGGAAGAAAAGCACAAATTCTTTGAGTCAATGCACAAAATTTTCATAAATGAGTTACGACTTGAATGTTACGATTAACTGTACAGTTCAAAATTTTAAGGGTAATTGGCACAATAGCTTCCTGACTTTTGCCGATTTTGTAGAATACCCTCGTACTATCAAATGGGATCATAGTGGCGAATGAGAAAATGGCAAATATGGGGTGTTACCAGAAGTTGGTAAAAGTAGAACAGGGAGGCGGCGGCTGCTGCTGGTGGTGGTGGTGGTGGTGGGAGGAAAAAGAGTTTTTAATTTATTTTTTTCATCTATTTTTTTATCATTATTTTAATTGACACTCGTTTGCACTTTTGAAAAATTAGGACTATTGTTGCGATTAATCTTTATTTTTTCTATTTATTTTTAAAAATTTAAAGAGGAGTGTAAATACGTCGTTCACAAAGCTTTATTGAGAAAAATAGAAGAAAATATTATATTCCTCAAAGTTCGGGTCATGTTCAGGAGGTATAGTGCCAATTACCCTCAAAATTTTGAACTATTAAAAATGACATGTTTATTTATTTAAATTCAGTCGTCAATGCTCACATATTTAATATTGGATAAAATTAGAAATAAGATTTGTAATTTATTTATTTATAATCTAACATACACTTTATCGTATAGATTGCATAAGTTCGTTATTATGCTCATGTTTGGTTTAGCTAAGAAAATTGATAAAAACTTCAGTTAAAGTCAAAATTTTATTTTAACGACATATTTCATGGACTTTTAACTATAAATTTGAAATGAAAGCACAATACAATCTTAAATAAATCTATTTACAATCTTAAGGTGGTTCAACATGCAACTCAGGTCCGGCCACCATGCATGTTTTTTAAAAAAATATTTGAAGAAGTTGTGACGGATTCAATGTTTCCACGGTTTGGACCCGACAATGAAAAATTATTTTTGTATAACATATTATTTTTCAAAGGGGACCAAACTATAAATTTTAAAACTATAAACTATAAATAGATTTCTATGAACATTATTTGTGGTACCATTCTAAGAAGATTTTTGTGAATTAGTTAGGTTTAAAAGTAGCTATGTGTTTTAGAAATTAACGTACTAGTTACCGTTTAACACAAAAAATGTTAGCGATAAGAT